TATTAGGAAATGTCAGTAAAATTAAAAATGATCACAGTGGACATTTGAATGGGAATATTGTGTTTATATGCAGTTGGGTAATGAAATATCATAATTACCTATATTAAATTTGCAAATACAACAATTTAAGATTCCCTCATTGAATTTTGAGAGTGATAGAAATGAAATTTTTGTTAACTTAAAACCAGTCAGGTTAGTGACTCATGATTTGTATGTCAAGGTGACATGAAAATGTGCATGAGACTTGTTTATTTTCAAAAAGTTCTGCTGTACTCTTAGATATTACACGTTGTTTAAAAACTGATTAAATCCCCCTGTCAATCAGCATTCATTGGTTTTTTTGAGTTCCACTAATGCTTTTCAATTTCTTTGAGCTTAAGTTCACATACATTAACGCAAATCTTGTAATGCCTCATAATCTCCCTTACTTTACCATTTCAGATGTAGCGAACCACTTTGCCACTCATGAGGAAGAGACGTTTTAAGTAATAATCAGTATAATTCTCATATATACCAGTTTCAAATGGGCAAATCAAATGAAAGAAGAAAAAATATATATATAAATAAAATTTTCTTTAAGAGACTCATTGCTAAAAATGGAAAAATCATTCACAAACAAGGAAAAGTTACTTATTTACACTTAACTATTTTAAAGTGGAAATCTTCATACATGTATTTATCAGCATATAAAATTAGGAAAGAAAATGAGCATACCAAAAGTTTGCTTTCAAAGTAGAAGAAAATGTTTTGCATAGAGTGCATAGGCAAAAATGATAGAAAAGAAACTATCATAAATGATATAAAGGAAATATGTAGCATTTACCTTACATATAGTCTTCAAGGTCTGGAGTGATAGCACAGTGAGAAGGGCATTTGCCTTGCATGCAGTCGGCCTGGCCGAGCTGGGTTCGATTCCTCTGCCCCTCTCGGAGAGCCCAGCAAGCTACCGAGAGTATCTCGCCTGCACAGCAAAGCCTGGCAAGCTCCCCGTGACGTGTTCGATATGCCAAACACAATAACAACAAGTCTCACAATGGAGACGTTACTGGGCCCACTCGAGCAAATCGATGAACAACCGGAGGACCGTGACCATGATAGTCTTCAAAATATCTATTCTGTCCATTTATTCATACTTGAAGGACACCATAAATCACCAATATACATGATAAAACTTAAAGCAATTCTCCCCTAACAATACATTCCAATAATTTTGTTTGAAATCAAAATAAAAGTGGATTTATGTATGTAAGAAACAACCACAATAGAATATTCTAGTGGGGTGTACATGTAATATATATAATCTATATATATCTATATATCTATATATTTATATATAGATATATATATATATAGAGAGAGAGAGAGAAAGAGTTAGATTTGCACCTTTTTAGGACTTTCTACTTATGATTTGCATCCTTTAAGTCATTGGAAGATAGCATGTTCTGGGGCTTTTGCTGTAGAATGTTGGTTCATTTCATTCACTGAAAAGTCACTGTGATAGGATCAATTTCCTGAAAATTTTACCAACAACTCGTCAGGAATGGGAGGAGAATGTAGATGTTAGAGTTTTTTTGCTTCAGAATTGAAGTGTTCGTACTTACAATATCAGACTCAATTTTTTATCATAACTTTCTTCCTCTGTCTTTCCACATTGGGGGTTACTGTAGGAACTTTATATATCCTTACACATTTTAGATTCAGTTTTATACTGAAACATATATACTAAGTTTATGGTTTGAATTGAAATGAATCAAGTAGAGGAGAATTGTGTCTTCGATACATAATGTCTCCCAATGGTCACCAGGATTCTATCTTGCATAGATTTAAATCTTTACTTTGTTTTCATCAAGCAGAGCCATAGCTTTATCCCAGCTGTAACGCTCATGCATATCTTCAATATGAGGCCTTGTATTCAGTCCTTGGCTTTAAAGAACAGCAAAACAATGAACCCCAAATGAAGAAAACATAACTGTCCATGAATGGTACGTATTTTCAGTGTAATGGAGTGTACAACAAATTTTTGGTAGATTTAGTTCCGTATCTCTAATTCTAAATGACTCTGCTTTTGTGCCAGTATTTGGAAACGACATTAATTTTTCTTTATTTACCTTAAATTTATTCACAGAGCTTTTCTCTTCTACTTTCCAATAAACTTTCCACGTTCTAAAAAATACTGATTAATTATAATGTTTTCACTATGTATATGAAGTGAAGTGTGAACTGTGAACTAGAGAGGGAGAAGTAATTTGAACTAGAGTCACATAACCGTAAAATGTGAAAGTAGAATATGATGGTACAATGTTGCACTGCAGAATTATAATCCTAATATTTACCCCAGCCAGAGATATCAGAATTCTCTTCAATTTAGTGGAAATCTGGATCCTATGCCTATACCAGTACATGAAAAAAAAATTTATGCAGAGATATTTTTCATAATGCTTTCCTTTTTGGTTGCAATATGTTAGTATTTACCCCTTTACATAGTAGATCACCAATAATCACAATATATTCAGACTGAATTAACATCCTGCTCATTTAGCAGATTTAATTAAATTAATATTTCAAGTTCCTGAACCTATAATATAACAACAATGATCGTCCATAATTTTTTCACATGTGCATAAAACTAAAACATCAAATAAGTATGTGTGATCACTATGTTAGATCAACTGATAAATACTCTACAAGAAAACTCATTATAATTGTAAGTGTGAGTTCCCTGGTTGTTTACAGAGTCCCCTATTCCCAAGGACCCAGGAGCTCTGCTCCATCAAGCAAATTTCAAACCTAACCTCTAGTGGCCAAAGTAGGATTGAAATGGACTCCTGTCTTTCTCTCCACAAGCCAGTTTTACTGAAAAGAGACAGATTGCAAATATCAGGACCGTAGGCTAAGTGTCAGCTGCCCACACTGACAATTTGTCCTAATGTTGGGGGAAGAATTTTCTGAATGTACTCTGGTGAGTTTCTTGATATTTTCGAAAGAAAAATTACACAGATTAATCAAAATCCCATCAATGGCTGCGGTGCAAACTTTTCAAAGAAATGTATGTGTTCAGGTTATTTTAATAAAAATGGGGAACTTGGAGGAGAGAAATAGAAAATATTTCCAAGTTTGCTGCATCAGTCTCAGACTTCAACCATTTTCCCAGTGCAATTCCTTGAGTGACCCATGTGAGAAAGATTCATCATACTGTGCTCTAAGCCAGTTATTACACCTCATCTGTAGAGTTAGCACTGAATGTTAAGACCAAGGTTCAGTGTCTAACTTACCTGTAAATTGTTGATCAAGATATATATGTCATTATTAACTTACCATTCAAATTTATTGTTTTGATTTCTGTGTTTATATATTCTGCAGTCTGTGCCATTTCCATTGTCATCTACTTATATAATTTAAAGTAATAAGGTACATAATATACTCCAGTATCAATAGTGTCATAATCTCATTTAAAGAAAAATGTCTCATAATCATAGTTTTTAAAGCTTTCTGAATTGATATAATGTAACAATTATTATTTGATTTATTTTACGATTAATCAATGGTTTTATGCACTGTTCTAATTTTGGTGAAATTTTAGTTTTTCAAATAATGATTATCCTGTAATTAATGGTAAATTCCTTTTGCTATAATTAAAATGCTTCCATCAATGCTAAAATGCTTTAACTATAGTTAAGCTCCTTTAACTCTAATCCTACTTTGTTTACATTAGTCACTATTTTCAGGACACATATAATTTGCTTTTTCCCAGAAGTTATACACAGATTTTACCATACTTTTATTTTTATATATTTTTATACATAAATGTTTCATATTTAATTTGTGAATCTTTGAGTGCAAAATCATATTTAGTAATTCTCTTACTTTTTGAAAAACTAAAGAATTTAAGTAAGTTATTTTTCAGGAATATGTCAGCTATAGAATTTACTTACAAACTACACCTGGGAAAGTTGTTATTTTGTCATTTTTAGTGGGCAATGAATAATATGCATTAGAACATCTGCTATTTTATTTTATATTAAAGATAATAACTTAAGTATATTATTGCTGTTACATAGATACTATCAATATACTGTTTATATTTTATTTTATGAAGGAAATATGTATGATTTTATTCTTCATCGTTTGCTTTGATTTACCATTAGTTTAAAGGGCTGTGTAATTTGGGGAGTGAGTGTTGCTCCTCTGTATATATATAAACTTTACACCAGCCACCAAAGATCACAGCAGGAAAGTGACTATCCTATCATTTCTTTCCAGCCATTTTCTTATTTCCTCAATCAATCACCAGCTTTTTCACTGAGTCTAAGTTAGTTTTGCTTTGCCAATTTGTTGTCTCTGCTTACTTATATTGCCCCTGAAAGTGAAACCATAATAATGGTATTCTCCTTCAGGAATAATATTTAACAAGAAAAGCAAGGTACTGGAAGCTTTTTCGTTCACATATAAAACAAAATTACAAAAATTGCATGAATAAATAGGATCTAGTTGTGGTTACATTATGAATAGATTGAAAGATTCATGAAAATATATACGAAGTCCAAACACGTGTAAGGATGTGTGTGGAACTGAATTAGGTAGTTTAGAGAAATAAAATGTCATTGCATAATAGAGTCCCATTAGTAAGAGTATACATTTTGAAATGTGAAAATTTGAAATCTTCCTCAATCAAAGTTTTAAAGTTTTTTATGCCATGTTTACAATAATGTTGACATTCATGTTTTAGGATTACAATATCACCACGCTGGTATTCTTTGAACTCAGAAAAGTCATACATGAACTCTACGTGATTATCAACATACTAAACTTCTATGTCAGTCTACACAAATCACATAATAAGTAGGTAGGATCTTGACTTGATTTATTTCAGTAGAGATAGCTTCTTATTCCACAGAGGTAGCTTAGATTACTAAATAGAGAAATTTTGTGCTCAAGAGTTTACATTTTGTCTTGCAGTCAGCATCAACCAGTGATTGAGAAGAATGACGGCTAATTTCAGTATGACTGGTTTTATTCTCATGGGGTTTTCAGCCAAGCCTGAACTGGAAATATTTTATGCCTCTCTGTTCTTAGTTTTATACTTGTTGGCCTTGATTGGCAATGTTGTCATTATCACCACAACTTCCCTGGATGACAGTCTCCAGTCCCCCATGTACTTCTTCCTGAAACATCTCTCCCTTTTGGATCTCTGCTATATTTCTGTCATCGTGCCGAGATTCATCTACGACTCTTATATGCATAGTGGAAATATTTCCCTCTGGGAATGCATATTGCAGTGCTTTGCCTTTGTTTCCTGCGCCTCTGCCGAACTGTGTATCCTCACAGTGATGTCCTATGATCGCTACGTGGCCATCTGCCTTCCACTGCGCTATGAAATCATCATGGATGTCAGAACCTGTGTCCATGGAGTTGTAGGTGTCTGGATTGGTGGGGTTATGTCTGGAGCCATGCATACAGCAGCCACTTTCTCCATCCACTTCTGTGGTCCCCATGTCATTCACCAGTTCTTCTGTGATGTCCCCCAGCTCGTGAAACTCTCCTGTAATAAGGAATTTCTCGGTGAGGTTGGTGTTGCTCTCTTCCTTGCTCTGCTGGCTTTTCTCTGTGTCATCTTTATTGGATTCTCCTACATGCACATATTCTCCTCTGTGCTTAGAATCTCCTCTGCTGAGGGCAGGGCAAAGGCCTTTTCCACTTGCCTCCCCCATCTCATTGTTGTTTTGTTATTTATTTCCACTGGTACTTTTGAGTTTTTAAAGCCGCACTCTGACTCTCCAACTGTTTCTGACATTTTGCTCACTATTCTTTATACAGTGGTACCCCCAATTTTTAATCCAGTGATCTATAGTCTGAGAAATAAAGCCATAAAACTAGCTATCAAAAAAGTTTTCCAAAGAAGAGAAGTATACCACTTATGTTGACTGTTTTGTTGTTTGGGAGATAAGTTCATAAAATGTATTTGTTATTGCTATGCCATGTTTTAGGATATGTCTATTTAACTCAATTTTGATGAAGTTATTTTTTTAATGATGTTGAGCTTTTGGGATGAATTATATAACATAGATAATAGCTCTTAGTGATTCTGTGCAACTTTTTTTTCTGCCAGTCAGTAGATTGCTTTTTATTTTAGTACATTTATTTCATAGTCAGAAACTTTTGTGTTTTGTGTTTGATGTAGTCCTGTTTGTTTAATTTTGCTTTGTTTTCTATGAAAATGGGGTCATACCAACAAAGACTTTTGGGATCAATAGTATGCAGAGCTCTGCCTATGATAATCAACACTTCTGAAGAAGTGTGTTCATCATCATTGACTGTCAGGGAACTGCAAATCAAAATCATCATGGGATATTTCCTCCTACCAAGGAGAACGATCTATATCAAAGTGGAGACAGTGAGCTATGGTGAAGATGTGGTGAAAAAGGAACCTTAATTCACTGCTATTGAGACTGTTGTCTGCTTCATACTCTTTGGAAGATGGTTTGGAGACCTCTCAGAAAATTGAGAATAGAGCTTCCATGACTGTGAAATTCCTGGGCATCTATTGCAAGAACACAGAAAGTTTAATTCTAAAGAACATTTGCACACCTATTTTCTCTGTGGCAATATTTACAAAAAACAAATAAGCCAAGAACCCAAGAACAGATGCATGGATGAATTATATGTTTATGTAATGTGTGTATATATATGTGCATGCATATATATACATACAATATTACTCAACTATGAGAAAAGACGAAATCCCACAGTTTGCTGAAAATAGCAGGGACTTGGAGGATGCTGTGGACCCACTGGAGGAAGTAAGAAAGAAAAGAATAAAAAATAGATAATATTGCTTTAAGTAGGGTATAATGAAACAAAGCAAGGGATTCTAAAATCCCAATCAGAAACAAATCCTGAGAGAATGTCCACAGAATTTGAATTGAGATTAAGGGATGTGAAGGAAAAGTGCCTTCACACTGGTTGAGAATGGTTGAGGGGCCTGGCACTTTGGTGGTGGAGATGGTTATAATAGCTCTGCAAGTATAAAACAATAACATCAACACTATTGTAAACTATAATACCTCGGGAGAAAATGGATTTGGAAAGATATATGGGACAATACTAACATAGTCAATCAAAAATTTAAATATAAATAATAACTCCTGATAAATAAAGTTGTATTAAAGGAAAACTGTTGCAATTATATGCTGTTTGAATAATAAGAATATTTTAAAAATATATCTACGTAAACATACTTTTATAAAAGGTAAAGGTAAAGGTAAAGGCCCTCCCGTTGATCATCGATTTGCTCGAGCGGGCCCAGTAATGTCTCCATTGGAGACTTTGTTGTTACTGTGTCTGGCATATCGAATACGTCACGGGGAGCTTGCCAGGCTCTGCCGTGCGAGTGAGATACTCTCGGTAGCTTGCCGGGCTCTCCGGGAGGGGCGGAGGAATCGAACTCGGGTCGGCCATGTTGGCTGCGTGCAAGGCAAACGCCCTACCAGCTGTGCTTTTATAAAAAGGGTTGATTAAAATGTTGACTCTAAGCCAGCTTTGAAATAAATAAAATTTATTTAAAGAAATAAAGACGTCAAAATAATTCATTGTTTTTCTGTTAGGATGATGGCAAGGAATACATAAAGGGTTCATTTTTCATTTTCTTAAATTACACTGGACTTTTCAACATCATAAATTGCAAGGTTTGATGAGAACATCCTAAGTTGTAGGACCCATTAGCCTTTCATTCCAAGTTCAGTAATGTTCTATCAACCTCCTTAGATTTTAATCACATATAATGAAGAAAACCTGAAGAAATCTTTCAGGCCATTTCTTTGACTGTTCAGATGCACTTGATTATTTTACCACCTTTTTTTGGTAACAGATATTTAATTAATAACCTTTTTAAATATTTAAGTAAGAACCTTTTTAAATGTATATTTTTAATGAATCACTATGAGATACAGTTACAGACTTACAAACTTTTGTGATTACATTGCAGTCATACAATGTTTGAGTACCCAGCCCTCCACCAGTGTCTATTCTCCACCACCAATGTTCCCAATATCACTCCCGCCACCAAGACCCCATCCCCCCGCCTGCCTCTGTGGCTGGCACATTCCTTTTTACTCTCTCTCTCTCCTTTTGGGTGTTATGGTACCCATAGTGTATTTGATATGCCAAACACAGTAACAAGCCTCACAATGTTACTGGGCCCACTCGAGCAAATTGATGAACTGGAGGTTTACAACATAAGTAGTAAGTGGCCATCGTGTTTGGCCTGTAGTCTACTTTTATCACATAACTCCAAACCCAAGCCAGTTAAATAATAATCTTTAAGGACTTCAAAGAACATGGTTTTACTTTTTGGCATGATAAAGTCAATAGAAAAGAGGTGTAATAATGGAGAAATAAAAATAATATTAAAGTGATCATATGCTAAGAGAGTGGATCCAAAATAAGTGGAAAGATACTGAAATACTTATATAAAAACACTTAAATGAAAATTTAATAAATATTTTTAGAATCAGATAAAATAAGGAGATGTAGAGCAAATGAATGAAAGGTCAGATTTAAGCAGGAAATATTTTTTTATATACAATGGACAATGTGATTTAAAGGGAAGATTAGCAGTTTCCTACTAATAGCTTTCCAAAGATCATTTTTATCTATTTCTTCATGATTTGAGGAATTGGAGAAAATGCTTAAAAGAACTTTGAGCATCTTTCAGAATTATTGTAAAGATACAAAAAATTAGGTTAGTCATGGGAAGGGGGGCTTTGTGGGCCGTCCCCCACGCCCCACCGAGGTCGCCAGCTGCCCCCCACGAGCGGCTCTCCAGCACGGCCACAGCCCCGGAGGCACAAGGACTTAGCACAGAGAACCAGCCGCTTGGAGCAGAAAAGCAAATGGACTATGTGTTAAACCGCACCACCAAGCCTGCCCGGAGGGGAAAGGGTGTTGACCGGCCCGCCCGCTCCTCTCTGGAAAGAAAGATGGCGGCCGCACGGGAGCCTTGTGGACAGCAGGTTTGAGCCAGGCTCGGCGGGAGCAGCGGGGACCTCATGGGAAGGGGGGCTTTGTGGGCCGTCCCCCAAGCCCCACCGAGGTCGCCAGCTGCCCCCCACAAGCGGCTCTCCGGCACGGCCACGACTCCAGGGCACAGAAACCAATCTCTTAACTATCTAACTTTTAATAGAAATTCTTCCAGGGTCAATAAGTAAAATAGCAGAAATTCAAAACCAACATATAATTCTTGAACCCAGCTGTAGAAAGCAAATCACTTCACAATGCTTTGTCAGCATGTCTGATTTTGGGGGGGGTAAACTCTAAATGTGGTGAATCTTTTATTGAAACAATGAATCTAATCAAAGCAGATAGAGTGTTAATTAGAATTCATCTACCTCACAGGGACGGGGAGGGGTGGGGGGTGGGGTTTTATTGGGGTTCTTCATGGTAAAAAATAAGTATTGGTAAAGGGAAATGTGTTTGATATTTACATGACTGAGACCTAAACCCGAAAGCTCTGTAACTTTTCCCACAGTGATTCAATAAATAAATAAATTATAAAAAAATTAGGTTAGAAGCCATAAAATTTTATTAAATATTTCTATATAAAATGAATTAAAACTTGAGTGTTCAATTAAAATACAAAATATTAATGGTAATTTTCCTTTGGCCTCCCAAATAGTACTCAGAAGTATTGGATAACATTGATTTGTTCTTGCTCCTCCTAGGGAGCTTAGGTTTATTGAGTTGCTCTCACCACAGTGCTCCCGAGGCAAACCCAAAATCCATCAGGTGCATCTGACCCTATATTGCTTTTCTCTTTCCTTTATGTCCTTTGCATGTTTTAGCAATGTATTTTTTGTATAGACACAGAAAGACAGTTCATGCTATGCTTTTGTAACATGGCAGTTACTTGACTACAAATAATATTTATTCCTGGTCATCCCTCATATTTACTTGACTTAAACCTCAGTTGCTCTTACTTGGTTACCCCTCAAAGGACGGTCCCAGCAAGGGACTTGAATGAACTCAGGTAAAACTGTAAGCTATCCTGGCATCGAAAAAAGAGGCTAAGTGCCATAAGAAGATAATAAGTTAAGAGCATGGTGATGAAACAAACTGTCATGATCCAAAAAGAAGTAATTGAATAAGGACCCTTCTGGGGTTAGGAAAGACTAATCTGTCTTCAGGACTGTGGTCTGGGATATTTAGCGAGATGTCCCCAGAAGAGACACCCTTTAAGCTTACTCTATCTCTAATTTATTCAAAATGACTAGAAATATTCATAATAAATAAATTGGAAGGGAGCGGGTTGAGTTTCCCTCCCCGCCCCGAGCAGAGCCCCACCAGCCAAAGACCTCCAGCACCAGCCACCACTATGCTGAGACCACTCGCCACATGCATGAAGGTACCGGGAGAGGAACAAAGGCATGCGTGTCCCCAGGCTGAGATCTTCAAGCCTGCTCGGATCGGGGCTGAGCATCCTCCACGCAGATCCTCCATCTTCCAGTAGGCAGGGGTCACACCCACCAACTGCCCCCCAACGCCGTGTAATCCCATCAATGGCCAAGACCCAGAGTCTATAAAACCCAGCTCCTAGAAGCGGGACATCTTATTATCTCATTCTTACTTCGGACAACCTAGCAGGCTACTGAATGTAACCTGCCCACACGCAGAGTCTGGCAAACTCCCCATGGTTTACCCAATATGCCAAATACCAGTAACAATGATGGGTCTCCTTCTCCTAACCCTGAAAGAGCCTCGAATGTGGCACTTTTTAAAATCTCAGGGGTAGGGCAAAGGAGATGTTACTGGTGCCTACTTGAGGCAATTGACAAACAACAGGATAATCGTGATTGTGATCATTATTTTTATAATATTTATAGTATGACTTTGGCATATTGAATATGTCACGGGTAGCTTGCCAGGCTTT